GGGGGAGACGTTCCGTTGACGCGGGCGTGGCCCGCCTGCGAGGGTTTGGCGGGAGTTCTGAAAGCTGCGGAGCGGAGCGCGCGCAGCGGGCGGAGGTCCAGCTCTGAGGAGAGCTGAGGGGTGCGCCGAGCCGCGTCTTTGGGATCAGACACTCGCCTAGGTGGTGCGCAGAAGGCCAGGACCACGGAGTAGAGAAGTGGGACTCAGCCGGGGTCTTGGGGTCCATCCGGGGGCGCGCGCCAGGGCAGCGGACGCAGAGAGCGTCGCTGTAGGCCCAGGTGAGTGTGGCAGCCTAGGCCGGGCCACTTCCTTTGCCCGCCTCGTCCCTGCGTTACCAGCGGGATCGGGACCCGGCCTGTGCCCCGCAGCCGACTTTCAGGCCCCTCCGCCCTACTGAGAAACCGGAAGGTGGCGGGCGGAGCAGGGGCATGCCCGGGCCAACCGACCCTCTGAGCTGGTTGTGGAGGGACAGACGCTGCAGAAGTTCATACCCAGCACCCCCTTTGTGGGTTCGGGCGAGGCGGCCGAGTTCCAGGTGTAGTCATAGCTGTTTACTATCACAGCCGGGGTCGGTCTTTCCACTGCACCATGTTTTGCTTACGAAGTACCAACCTCCGTGTGCTGAAAAGATAGTTGTATTATCCAGTGTGGAAAACCGTGTACGTGACATCTAGGGAATGACAGGCCGTGAAAGTTTTTGAAAACTTGTAAAGTGAAGTGTGATGCACGTACTTAACAATGAACAGAAGTCTATAGATCTCTATAAATTTTTACACAATAGCCTGTGTAATCTCTGCTTAGGTCAAGAAAGACACTAGGGGAGTCCGGTCTTCGAAAAGTCCGTGGAAAATTTGAATTATGTAAAAGTATGTATACATCCATTATTTGCACCAAGTAAACCCATACTTTATTTTTAAAGAGACTTTTGCGAGGACCAGCAGGTAGTGTAGTGGTTATGGTGCTGGACTGCCACAGAGTCAACAGCTGGACCCAGTGGCTTAAAAGTCAAGCCAGGTACCTGTGCATGTGTACCCAAAATCCTGAGAGGAGATTGAAGGAGAAGGGATTAAGGTGTGGCCATCCCCTCTGGGGCTGTGATTTCTTGCTTTCTCTCTCTCTCTCTCTCTCTCTCTCTCTCTCGGGAGTGCTAGCACCCTATAGCAAAAATCTCTCTCTAAAAAAAAGAGTTTTGCTGTAGGGCGCACTCCCCTGAGAGAGAAAGGAGAGAAAGAAAATGAGAAAGTGAGAAACAAAGCCACCACATCTGGGACTCCAACTGTAGTCGGCCATGTGGGAGTGTCCATTACCTTAACCACCATACTGCCTGCTGGTCCTCTTCCATTTCTTATTTCTTTTTATTTCATCAGAGAGAGAAAGGGAGAAAGCAGGCTGCCAGGTCTAGGCTCAAACCACAGTTGGCCATGTAGTAATCCAGCTCCTTTAACCACCATACCACGTGCCAGCCCCAGTCTTTTCTTTTTTGGTTATTGCATTATATATCCAGTTCAAGAAATCTTTCTCTGATCCAAGGTTATGGAAATATATGTTCTGTAAACATTTTTCTTTTAATTTTCTTTCATGAAAGAAAGATAGGCTTCCCTGACAGGATTTTCCTGTCATGATCCACCCCAATTTCATCCACAAGCAGCATATTCATATACCTGCAGACCATGATCCCTTCCATTTAAATCCAGTTATGTTACATCTATACCACCTCCCTGCCCCTGAAAACTGTTTTACATCCTGATCTGTTGATTTTTTCCCCCCTGCGAATAGAGATATATCAAGTTCATTTTATTCTGTAAGGCTGTACAATAAATCAGCACTATTTATTGAAATGACCATCCTTTTGCTCTATAAGCCATCTTTTTTTTTTTTTTGAGAGGTTTTCGCTATAGGGCGCGTGCACTCGCCAGATAGAGAGAGACATAGAGACAGAAAGCGAGAAATCACCCCCCAGAGGGGATGGTCACGCCACAATCCCTTCTCCTCCATTCTCCTCTCGGGATCTTGGGCACGCACGCACACGCGCCCGGCGTGAGTTTTAAGCCACCGGGTCCAGGACGCGAACCGCTGTCGACTACGTGGTAGTCCAGCGACATAGCCATTACGCTAACTGCTGGTTCCCTATAAGCCATCTTCTTCATAAATTATGAAGGGAGGTATTTATTTTTAGCAGATTCTGATATATGGAGTTATTGTTGACTCACTGTATGCTAAATCTGCCATTTAAGATAGCGGTACCTAGGGACCAACAGATGGTGTAATGATTACATTGCAGTTCACCACAATTTGAGTCCTGGATCCAGCGGCTTAAAACTCATGGCAGGTGTATGTTTGTGCATTCCCTAAATCCCAAGAGGAGAAGGAATTGTGGTGTGGTCATTCCCCAGGGGGATGATTTCTCACTCTTTGTCTCTCTGGCAAGCACATACTCCCTACAGCAAAAATATCTCTAAAAGGAAAAAAAAAAAAAAAGATCTGTACCTAAACCAATCAGTATCAAATGGACATCTTATCATCTATCAAATCTCCAATAATGGACTTCATATCTATTATCTTCGGTGTTAAATTTGTCCTCACATTTGTCCAGATTGATTGATTGATAGGTAGAGGGTCTGTGTGCTCACCAGAGAGAGAAGGTACCCCATGGGGAACAGTCATGCCACAATCCCTTCACCATTTCTCCCTTTTGGGATTTTGGACATGCACACAACTGTGCTGAACATATTTCCCCAGCCACTGGTTCAGGACTCAATGGGGGATCCAGCTGCTTATCCACCAGGCAATGGAGCCTGCTCTGTCCTTATTATATTTTAAAGTTTGTCAGAGGGCATGCGCGCAGAGGGAGAGGGAGAAAGTACCACCCATGGGTCCTGGTCACACCACAATCTATTCTCAATTTCTTGCTCATTTTAGGATTTTTGGGTGTATGTGCATGTGTGCATGCACAGACACACATAACAGTGTGTTTTTCAAGCCACCAGATCCAGAACTGAAACCTCATGGTTGGTCATATGGAAACCATCTTTCCTAACTACAAAGCCATAGGCTGGCCTTGTCTAGGATCTTTTGATGTGTTTAAGTCCTTTTATTGGGTCGTCGGAAAAGTCAACATATTTTTCTGTGATTTTCTATGCAAAAATATGTTATGACTTTTTCAATGACCCAATATTATTGTGGACATAAAAGACGTATTTACATTCACTGATACACCTTGAAAATAATTTAAAAGTTTTTGTTTTCAGTTCTTTTGAAGCTGAGCAGTCTTAACTCTGTCAAACTAACTTGACTAGGTATAGGCCTATACTTACACTTATGGAAGATGCCAGATTTAGTGGGGTACTTCCATATGTTTTATTCATTTGTGTTTTTACCAAAGTCTGGAATTGACTAAAACAGTGATCCTTAAATTTCATACACTGAGGCCAGCAAGTGGTATGGTGGTTAGGTGCTGGACTCCCACATAGCCAGCTGCAATTTGAGTCCCAGACTTGGCTGCTTGCTTTCTCACTTTCTCGCTCGCTCTCTGTCTCTTTGTGGTGAGCACATATGCCCTAAAGGAAGTTTAAAAATAATAATAAATAAATTTAAAAATAAAAATTTCATTCAATGCTATTGGAAGCAAAGTGTGTGATTATAAGCTACAAACTTTGATAGGAAGTACTTTGTTCATCCCAGTCCTCCATTTCTCTGTCAAGAATGGAGACTTATAGGCAACCATTCTTTAATTACTTTTTTATATTTACATATTTATTTAATTCCATTTGTTACTATTATTTCTTTTTAATTTGATGAGAGAGAGAGGGAAAGCAAGAAAGCAAGCCATCAGATTCAGGACTTGGACTGCTATGGGCCACGTGGGAATCCAGTGCTTTTAACCACCATACCACCTGCTGGCCCTACTTTTTTTTTTTTTTTTTTTTTTTAATTTCTTCTGAGAGAGAAACAGACAAACAGACAAGCACTACAATAGGGTCCCATGCCATAACCCTTCTAGTCCTCCTAGCCAGCCAGGATCATGGGTATAAACACCAGTATGTACAAGTCAACCAGGGAACTTAGCCCATAATCTTCTGTTTGAATCCAGCATCATATGAGCACATCATCGCTGTGCCACTGAGCTGGACTTCTATGCCTTCATTTCAGTTTCCCTACCCCAAGTCCCTTTTTGCTGGAAAGATCACTGGAACTGATTTAGTTTAACTTTTCTTCTTTAAGTTTCTTTCTGTTGTGAGAGAGGAACAGTACCCTTGATGGGGTTTCACCCTGCTTTCTCCTCAGTCTTCCAGCCAGCCAGGATCATGGGTGCATGGGCATGCCCAGGGATGACTCATCATGTGAACCTTGTTCCTCCCCTGTAGCTCCGGTATTGCGCAGCAGTGTTCCAGTGCCTGTGCCACTATGGCTGGGCCTTAAAATTTTATTTTTTTAAGTAGTAGCCTCTGAAATCTGCAATCACTTTCCAAACTTCTAATAACATTTACAATGTATAATGGGATTTATAAAAATAGGACTTGGCCCTAATTCTTTAGGGCTGTAAAAGAGGAGAACAGGAGGATATCATTGTTCTAATTCACATGTGCGTTCTTTTTTTATAAGAGAGATTTTTGCTACAGGGCATGTGCACTCACCAAAGTGACAGAAAGTGAGAAATCACCCGCTGGGGGAATGGCCATGCCGCATTCCCTTCTCCATTCTTCTCTCAGGATTTTAGGCTCATGCACAAATACCTGGCATGAGTTTCAAACTTCTGGGTCTGGAATTCAAACTGCCATCAACCATGTGGGAGTTCAGCAATGTAACCATTACACCATCTGCTGGTCCCACACATGTGAATTCTTAAGTAGAAATCCTCCTTCCTAAAGTCTTTCTGATAACTGTACTTACCCGTAGTATTTCCCTAGTGTTCAAACTGAGGGCTATCTGTGTTTTTCAGTAATGGCTATGCAAATGCAGCTTGAAGCAAATGCAGATACATCTGTGGAAGAGGAAAGCTTTGGCCCACAACCTATTTCACGGTTAGAGGTATGTCCTTGGTTGCTAATTTTATGATTATAATGTTGTATTAGATTCTTCTACCTAATGGGAGAGAACATAATCTTTTTTTTTATTTAATATTTTTATTTACATTCATTCACTGTACATCATTACAGCATACAAAATGAGATTGTCCATCCAGAGTACACTCTATATTGTCTCAATCAAGCACATCAACATACATGTCATTGTCAGCAAATAATTTTCCATTTCTTGTTTCCTGTATGTTTTGCCTTTTTTCCCCCATCCTTGATTCCCTATCTCTTACCCTCTGCCATCTCCCTCTCTCCTCCCACACTGTCTCTGGTATCTATGTTTGCTTTCTATACTGTTTTTCCCCCACATTTTATTGAATTACTAAAGATCTTAATTAATCTAAATATTTTCATAGCAAGCACAGCTGATATATACATTTCCATGAGCACAAATCTAACTTTAGGCATCCTTTAAAGTAGCACCTAGCTGGGGCTATATATCTTACTGCA